TAAATCTTGGTTCGTCAAAGTTAGGGGTTTAAAGATCTAGTGATTTGCATACGTGATATGGGTTTGATCCACATCTTTAGGGATTTAGAGATCTCATATTGATTTACATATTTAGATTGTAAATGATACTAGTTGAGTTTGAGGTTTTAGAGAATTATGATAGTTTTTGTATACAATTGTCAATGGTAAACCAAATTTAAATAAACATTAAGATCTAATAAAAGAAGTGTGTAAAATTCAAGGGTTAATTAGCTTAAAATTACTTTTAGGACATATAATTAGGAAAGTAACATAACCAAAAATATAATTAGGAAACTAGCATAGAGAAATAAAAATATAACAAAATTACCCTTATAATTATAATTAAGGTAAATACATATACAACTTAATTTCTCTTATAATTAAGATAAAAATAAAGAAAAAAATCCTTTAAAATTCTTCACTTGATCTCATCTCATATATAATTGCTCCTCCCAAAAACGCATATCCATTTTCTGTAAAAACAAAATTGGGTCAGAAAAATCAAATATGTTTTATCAATTTACTATTTAACATAGCTAACTATTTTTGTAACTATATACTTAATTGATCTCTGAACATACTTAACTACATCACAAAAACAAAGTTAACTATATTCACAAAATATTTACCAATTTTAAAACATAGTTAACTATTTTTAGGAAATAGTTACCAATTTAAAAACGTATTTAACTACTTTTAGAGCATAGTTGACTACACGAAAATGTTGTTTTAATAGTCACTTATTTAAACAACATAGTTAACTACGTTTAGAAACATAGTCAATTATTTTTTAAACCTAGTTACCTATTATAGTTTGCATAACAAAAAAAACCTACATAGTTAAGTATTATCAGAAATATAGTTACATATTATAATGAAAAATAATTGTTACCTATTATATTGATTTTCAAATATAGTCAACTACGCAGCAGTGACTTAGTATGAGCAAGAGAGGCGACGATGGTTGAGAGTTTTTAATGGAGAAGAAGAATCACCATCATAATTGATGATTGGAGATTTGATCTAT